GCCGGAAGTGGTGCTGTGGCTCAAGTGGTAGAGTGCTAGCCTTGAGCTGAAGAGCTGAGGGACAGCGCCCAGGCCCAGAGTTCAGGCCCACAACCAGACCCAAAAAAAAAAAAAAGATTGGGTTTGGGGAACTTCTTGGCCAGGGTTGGCCTCGAACTATGATCCTCCCAATTTGGGCCTTCCCAGCAGCTAGGATGACAAAGTGGACATCCCTGTGCTTAGCTTCCCTGTACAGTTTGTGGGAAAGGATAGGGGGTGGACGGGTCATGGTGCTTGAACTCAGAGCCTGGGTGCTGTCCATGAACTTTTCTGCTCAAGACTAGTGCTTTACCACTTAAACCACAGTTCCACTTCTGGCTTTTTGCTAGTTAACTGGAGTTAAGAGTCAAATGGACTTTCCTGTCTGGGTTGGCTTTGAATTGTGATCCTTAGATCTCAGCCTTCTGAGTGGCTAGGATTACAGGTAGGAGGCACAGAGCGTGCCTAGTTTTAAATAATGCAGAGGCACAATGCAGGGCACAAAGCCAGCCTGGGGACACGGACGGGGACAATGCTCACCACAGGGGGCTGTTGAATAAATGATGCTACAAGGCATGGCAGACTACCTCAAAGTGTGCTTCATTTTTATAAGGACACAACAGATTTGCTGTGTTTATTTCATGAATACTTTCCTGCCCAGGCTGGCTTTGAACCACGATCCTCTGATCTCAGCCTCCTGAGTCGCTAGGACGACAGGCGTGAGCCACCAGCACCCAGCTTAAGGCTCAGTTTTTAAGAGCCCCAGCATAGACTTGTTCAGAGGAGGGGAAACAGGCACGAAGACGGGGCAGCTGGGCCAATGGTAACGCTCGTGCTGAGAACACAGAGGCTCTGTGATAGACCATAGCACATGAACAAAACAAAAATGGCACCGTTTGCCTAGAACATCCATGCCCCAGATGCGTGAAAGAGAGCATCCGGGCAACTCCTACCCTTCCCAACCCCGGACGCTCAAAAGACCTGCAGAGCGAAGGCCACGGACACACCGGGCAGGGAGAAGGCAGGTGAGACTGACCGTAATGGCAGGAGCTGCAGGGCCTGAGGGTCTGCTGTCTGCACCTCTCCTTGTCCCTTCCTGTGGGTTGGGGTGCAGGGACAGTGAGCATGCCACCCCGAGACAAGTAGAGGGGATGGACAGGCTTAGGGTCTGAGGGAGGAGGCTGGGGCCTGGACTCCTGGGTCTGAGGGAGGAGGGTTGGGGTCTGGGGGAAGCAGGGCTGGGGTCTGAGTGGGGAGAGTCTCCCGTCTGCAGGAGGAGGCGCGGGGGTCTCACCCTGGCTTTGAGCAGACGCTCTCTCTCTGCCACAGCCTGCTGCAGTAGCCGTTCCATGTGGGCGATGTCCGGGTGCAGGGCTCCATAGCTGGATGGAGGAGGCAGAGAAGGGTGGGGAGGGGTGGAGAGGGGTGTGGTCACCATGGCTCCACCTCCTCCTCCTCTGCTCTGCCCCCTCCTCTCCCTGGGATCCCACCTGTTCCCAGGGCCACAGTTCAGCAGCTGATAGAGCGGGTGTCTTCCTGAGGTCCCCACTGCTGGACCAAGGGCCGAGGCCTTCAAGGGTGCTGGGGAAGTGAGGGTGGGGTTAGAAGGCTGGGGTACTCCCCTGTCCCAACCCTTGAACTTCTTCTCTGCAGACCTCCTGCCTTCACCTCTGTCTTCTGCCTCGGCCCAGGGGTCCACTGGGGAGCAGGAGGGGGTGGGGAGGGTCCTCACCTGTACAGTGGACAGACAGAGGTCGAGGAGACCCTTTCTGGCTCACACGCTCTCCCCTTTTCCGGGGCAGGCTTCCAGTCCTCTGGAGGCCAATGGAGCCCTGAAAACACACAAGGCCTGTTGTGATTCTGATCAGAAATGTTCCCTAAAACTGATGTCTTTCACAGCCAGGCATCGGTGGCTCACACCTGTCATCCCAGCTACTCAGGAGGCTGAGATCTGAGGATCACAGTTCAAAGCCAGCCCCAGAAGGAAAGTCCAGGACACTCACCTCCAATTAATCACAAAAAGCCAAAAGTGGCACTGTGGCTCAAAGTGGTAGAGTGCTAGCCTTGAGCAAAAGCGCTCAGGGACAGTGCCCAGGCCCTGAGTTCAAGCTCCAGGACTGGCAAAACAACAACAACAACAAACTAATGCCTTCAGCCAGGTGCTGGTAGCTCATGCCTATAATCCCAGCTACTCAGGAGTTCAGATCTGATTATTGTGCCCCAAGTGGTAGAATGCCAGCCTTCAGTGAATATGGGACAGAAGCAGCATTGAGGTTCTGAGTTCAAGCCCCAATACCAGCACACACACACACACACACACACGAGAACCCCAGTTTGGAGGATTTTTTGGGGGGATCCGGTCATGGGGCCTGAACTTTGGGCCTGGGCGCTGTCCCTCAGCTCTTCAGCTCAAGGCTAACACTCTACTACTTGAGCCACAGCTTTTTTCTTTTTGCTTATGTGGTGCTGAGGAATCGAACCCAGGGCCTCAGGCATGCAAGGCAAGCGCTCTACCACTGAGCCACCTTCCCAGCCCTAGCTCATGTTTTTTTTTCATCTTCCCTTCCCAGCCTTGCCCCTGAGGTAGCCCTGGCATTGTCTGGAAGACTCTGAAGGAGCTAGTGCCCACCCTCCTGTCCATCTCCTCGAAGGATGACCTCGACCCAGGTGCACCCCAGCCCTGGTAACCCTCCCATGGCCCCCCATGGCCCCAGGAAACCAAATCCGACATGCGCCCTGTCCATTCCCAGCTCCTCTACCTATCTTCCCGCCCCAGCCAGCTTTGCTTCCCAAACTTATACTCTTCAACCTCTGTGCACCTGTTCCATTCTGTTCCCTCTGCACCAAATACCCTTCCAGCTCCATGCATCTCTTCAGGAAGAAATATTCCCTGATTCTCAGGCTCTTTGCAAGTCGCTTACATCCAGGGAACTCAGATTCCTGCAGCAGGAGTTACCCCTTAATCCACGTACCCTCAGAGCTGTGTTACACTGCCCTAGCAGTCCTAGATTAAAATCACCGTTGGTCCCCAATATTTTCTCAGAAAGTACAAAGTAGGCCAGGTGGGGTGGGGTACATTTGTAATACCAGCACTGCAGAGACTGAGACAAAAGGATCTCAACTTGGACACCAGCCTGGATTGACATAGCAAGACCTTGTCAGGAAAAATTTAAATATAATTTAAAAATAAAAAATAAGGAGCTGGGAAGGTGGCTCAGTGGTAGAGCGCTTGCCTTGCATGCCTGAGGCCCTGGGTTCGATTCCTCAACACCACAGAAGCAAAAAGAAAAAAGCCAGAAGTGGCACTGTGGCTAAGGTGGTAGAGTGCTAGATTGAGCTGAAGAGCTGAGGGACAGCGCCCAGGCCCAGAGTTCAGGCCCCACGACCAGACCCCCCCAAAAAATAAATAAAATAAAATAAAACCAACAGGTCAGCTGGGCTCTGGGGATTATGCCTGTCATCCTAGCTACTCAGGAGGCTGAGATGTGAGGATCAAGGTTCAAAGTCAGCCAGGGCAGGAAGAAAACCAGGAATGGAGCTGTGGCTTAATGTGGCTAGAATGCTAGCCTTTAGCAGACGTGCTGAAGGACAGTGCCCAGGCCCTGAGTTCAAGTCCTAGGATGACTAAACAACAACAAAAAACACAACGAGACAACAACATGGGGCTGGGAAGGTGGCTTAGTGGTAGAGTGCTTGCCTAGCATGCATGAAGCCCTGGGGTCAACTCCTCAGTCCCACATACACAGAAAAGGCTGGAAGTGGTGCTGTAGCTCAAGGGGTAGAATGCTAGCCTTGAACAAAAGAACTTCAGGGACAGTGCCCAAGGCCCTGAGTTCAAGTCCCAGGACTGACAAAAACAAACAAAAAAAGACAAGAAAACACAAAGAGCATTTGAAGCGATGGAGCTTTTCTTTGTAGCTTAGCCACCATCTGCTCTCAGGGAGTGGCAGAGCCCTAGGCACTGACCACTTATCACTGGTCACACTACCTTGGCATGAGACCAGCCACATCCTGCCTGGGAACAAAAGGACTTGTTTTCCCCAACAGCAGGGAGCAGCTGGAGCGGAGAGAGAACCATTAGAGATAAAACTGCATCAGCTCAACCCCAGATCACCGGCTGGCCTTCCTGGTGTGGACTCCAACAAGTGCTCCCCCCCCCCCCGCGCCCCTTCACTCTCTCTCTCTTTCTGTGTGTGATGTGTGAACTGGAGATTGAACTCAGGGCCTGGACACTGACCCTGGGCTTCTTTTGCTCAAGGCTAATGTTCAACTACTTCAACCACATCTCCATTTCTGGCTTTCTGGTGTTTCATTGGAGATAAGAGTTTCACGTACTTTCCTGCCCGGGCTGCCTTCAAACCCCAATCCTCAGATCTCAGCCTCCTGAAGAGCTAGGATGACAGGCAGAGTCACTGGCGCCCCGCTCACTTCCCAGTTTTTGCTAGTTCACTGGAGTTAAGATTCTCTCAAATTTGCCTTTCCTAGGCTGATTTTAAATCGAGAGCTTCAGATCTCAGCCTCCTGGGTAACTGAAATTTATAGGCATGGGCCACTGGCGCGCGGAGGGAGAGCATCTGTCTAGCTTATGAAGTCCTGAGTTCAATCCCTAGTACACTCACACACAATATTTGAAAGGTTGGAGAGTACAGGATACAGGGGTAATCCTGACTTAAAAACAAACACTTTTATGCTATGTTGAACATGAACTGTACAACTTGTGGGTGGGGATGGGAGGGAGAAATTGGGAGAGGAGAGCAGGGATGACATTGTGCCAGGAGAAATGTACTCTCTACCTGACCTACTAACTGTAACCCCTCTGTGCATCACCTTTGTAATAACAATTTAAAAAGATTTGTGGCTTTGACATTTTTCTGAATATGACATTTGATGAGCAAACAGCCAGGAGACCACGGAAAGGGGCTCCGGTGAGTCAGAACCCCCACAATCACAGTCAGGAAGGGAGGAGGAGAATGAGGAGAGAGGAAGAAAACCGGTGGAGAAGTCAAAGGTCAAACCAACCTGTTCCCGCAGCTCCTGGCTGCCCCTGGTCGCGTCCACCTGCCGGTCCAGCAGCTCCCGAAGCCGCTCCTCCTCCCGCCGGGCCGCCACGCGCTCCCCGGCCAGCTCACCTCGAAGCAGGGCCACCTCCACCTCCATCTGCCCAGACAGAGAGCGCGAGGCCTGGGGTCCTGGGGTCCATGGGGCCCGTGGGGTGCAGAGGCCCGGGTCTGGGGGGTCGGTATGCTCCCCTCCCCGCCCTCTGCCCCTAGGCCTCACCTCGATCCGCAGCTCCTTCCTCTGGCGCTGCAGCTCCTTGACCCGCTGCTCCATCAGGGCCACGCGGGTCAGCGCCTCCAGCTGCTGCGCCCGCAGTCGCCGCGCCGCCCCCCGCGCCCCCTCCCCGGAGGAGATGAGCGCGGTGGGTGTGGCCGGGGCCGGAGCTGCAGCCTCGAGCTGGAGCCGGAGGGGGCGTGGTCACGCGAGGGCACGCCCCTCCCCGAAGTCCCTCCCCCGATCAATCACCACATAGGTCCGACCCCTCAGTGCGTCCCCCATTCTAGGCGCCCCCCCCTTCCTGCTCGATGTACTCAGGCTAAGGATGGAGAGCCGGGTCGGTGGGGTGGTCACCAGATCATTTCTTTGGGGGGCAAAGAGGGGGGTCCTAGCTCCCAGTCCAAGGGGTACAAAGCACTGTTGGTTATAGGAGGTATTTGTTTTCCTTATCCAGGTCCTAAGCCTAAGTCTCTTTCCCTGGATCTCTGGGTCCTTTTCTCCCGGGGTGGAGGGATGGGTCGTCTCTCTCTGACTCAGTTTATCTGTCTGAATGGCTAAGGCTCTTTCTCTCCCTCTGGAAGTTGACCTGTCCTTTTTTTCCCTGGAATTTCCCCTGTCGCTAACCCCACCTCCGTCTGTCTCTCCTCCGTGTCCCGTTGGGATCTTGGTCTGTCCGTCTCTGGATCTGGCTAGTGTCTGTCTGTCCGAGTCTCTCTGGTTCCAGGTCGACTTTTTGCTGTCTTTCTCGGGGTGTCTCTACCAGTCTCGGGGTATCTCCGCTTATCTCTACGTTCCTGCTTTCTCTCTACCTGTCTGTCTGTCCATCTATCTGTCTGTCTGGGTCTCCCTCCGTCTGTATCTTTGTCTCTCTGGGCCTCCTCAGTGTCTCCACCCGGCCGCTATCTCCGTGTCCATCTCTGTCCTCTCTGCCCATCTCCGTCCCCTGCTAGGGTGTGGGCCCCGTCGGGGTGACCCCCGCGCCCCACCTGGGCTGCCGCCCCACGGGCCCCTCACCTCCTCCCGGCAGCTCTCCGTGCTGCTGCCTTCCCCGACTTCTTCCTCTTCCTCGGCCTGCTGATTCGCTCCCGGGCGGCTCGGGAGCTCCGCGGGGACCCCGGGAGCCTCTTGCACTTGGGGCTCCTCGGAAAGTCCCTGGGGTTGAGCAGCTTCTTGGGGAAAGGCTTGGGCGTCGCATTCCGGGACGGATGGCGAAGTCGGGGTCCCCTCCTCGGGGCTGCTGGGCGTCCCCATAGCCGCTTTGGATTCCAGCGGGGTGGGCGTGGCCAGGGTGCGCGAGGGGCGTGGCCTTAGGAATCGGGCAGGGGCCTGCGGACCTCGGGGGCGTGGCCTGGAAGCTCGGAGGGCGTGGTCTAAGAGTTCAAAGAATGGCGCTGAGCATCCCGAGGGCGTGTCCTGAAGTTTCCGGGGGCGGGGAATGAGGTTGGGCGAAGGCTGATTGCTCCTAAGGAGACACGCCCCCAGAGGCGGGACGGGAATTTGAGTCCGCGATGGGGAGATGGGGGTCCCAGCGCTCCCCCTAACTGGCCTCCCTCCTATCCAGGAGTCAGGCCTTGAACCCACTCAACAGCCCCCCCCTCCACGCCCCGCTTAATCTCCTGCACTACCTATGGCACCCCATCTCCTCCCTCCGGGACTCCCCGCCCTGCTCCGCCCGGGAGCTCGCAGTCTTTCTCCCGGTCCCCCTGCACTGGGGGTGGGGAGCCCCCAGAGATCCAGGAGTCGGGGCTCCCAGTCTCCACCTTTTGGGACAAGCCCTGGGGCCTCTCAGGAAAGGGATCCCCGACTTCCAGCCCTCCCTTCCCGCTCCTGCCCGGCAGCCGCGGCCCTCCTCACCAGCTCAGGCTTCGGCGCCTCCGCTCTGCGCCCTGCGCCCTGCGCCCTGCGCCCGGGCCCCGCCGCTTCTGCTGCAGGACAGGTGGCTGGGATGAGGAGGGGGGAAGAGGGCGGGAGAGAGGGCGGAGAGAGGCCGCCCGTCCCCCTCCCTGCAGCCCGGAAGTGCAGGGGGGAAAACAGGTCCAACCGCTCTCCAGGGAGGAGGGAGCCACCGGCTGGCCCCGCCCGCCGGCCGTGGCATCCAGCCATTCCAGCACCACCAACCCCACTCTCGGAGAACCCAACATGGTGTCCACCCACTCCGACTCCAGAGCCCCCTCTCACCCCCCCCCACGCCCCCAATCCTTTCCCCAGGAGGGTCAGGTGTCTTTGGCCATTTCTATATTGCCGTCTCTAATATTCAGATCTTGTGAGTTCTCAAAGATAGGAATGGAGATGGAGGGGGGGGCCTCTCCCCTTTAATGAGCCCTTGAGAAGGGCCCCAACCGGTTTAGGGAGCTGGGCCAGGGGGTAGGGGTGACTTGGGCTGTGTCAGTGACCCGCCCAGTGACAAGGAAACATGCCCTCCATACTTTACCACAGGGTGGAGGGCAGGGGTTAAAGGTCTCAGCCAGACCCTTTCCTGTCTGGGCAAAACAGGAAAATAAGCAGCACGTGAAATGGGATTACTAGAGTCCAAGAGCTGTAGCAAAATGCTGTGCACACCTTAATTTAGTTTCATAGATCAATCCAAGAAGGGTTGTCATCTACAGGTTTTTGTTTTGTTCTGTTTATGCCATGCTGGGGCTTGAACCCAAGGCCTGGGTGCTGACCCTTTTCACTTGAACCATAGTGGAACTATGGCTTTTGGCTGGTTAACTGGAAATAAGAGCCTGGTGGATTTTCCTGCCTGGGCTGGCTTTGAACCAAGCTGTAAGATCACAGCCTCCTGAGTAGCCAGGATTACAACCGTGAGCCACCAGGGTAAAGCTACTATCGTCATTTTATCCTTAGGAAAGTGAGGCTGAAGAAAATGAATATATCCAACTTCTATACACACCAGCTTTGGTCTCTTTGCGTCAATGTAGGAACATGGAACCATTAAGTAAACAGTCACACACCAGCCCGGATGTGCCCGGGAGATGATTCTAGATGATAGTAACAAAAATAGTTCTGGTAGGGAGTCTGCCTTGCAGGCAGGGTGCCAGGCACTCAAGGGTGTTATAGGCTTATCAGATCCTGCAGGCACCCTGTTATTACCACTTCCACTTTACAAAGGGGGAAACTGAGGACTGAAGGGAAATACCTTACCCTGGAGTTCTAAGAGAAGGGAGTGGCTCAAATGCAAGGCCCATATTCAAGTCTGCACCTGACCTTGTGAGTTAGGATCTCCTCCTCCTCCTCCTGGCACCCAAGGCCTCTCCAAAGGACCAAACCCACCTCAAGCCTTCAGCCACCCCCCCCAACCCAACTTGTGTCCCCAGGAAACACGTAGAAGTCACATTCGTGGTAAAATAATCAGTTTTTATTTACGAAGTTTAAGGGGCTGGAGGGATAGGGGTGGGAGAAAAGAGGAGGCTCAGTGACAGCCCCTCCCTTCATCTCACCAAGTGCATCTTTAACCACAGTGCCAGCACCTGACAGGCAAGTCAGGAAAGGGGGGTCTAGACCCCGCAGCGCAGGTTTGCTGGGACAGCAACATCTGGAAGGAAGAAACCACGAAGAACCCTAAAGGACCTGACCAACCCTGCGCTCCACAGAGAACCCAGCAAGACTGGGGAATTACAGTTCTGTCATTCAGAAGGAGTAGTCCAGACCCCAGCCACCTCCTCCCTCAGACCCAGGGATCCAGACCCCAGCCACCTCCTCCCTCAGACCCAGAGATCCAGACTCCAGCCTCCTCCCTCAGACCCAGGGATCCAGACTTCAGCCTCCTCTCTCAGACCCAAGGATCCAGACTTCAGCCTCCTCTCTCAGACCCAGGGGTCCAGACCCAAGCCCTCCTCTCTCAGATCAGGGGTTCAGACCCAGCCCTTCTCCCTCAGATCAGGAATCTAGGCCCCAGCCCTTCCTCCCTCAGATCCTTCAGACGTTGGCCTCCTCTGTCAGATCCAGAGGTCTAGGCCCCAGCCTCTGCCCTCAGACCCGAGGTCCTGGCTCCCAAGTGGCTTACCTATCTGCTTAGGCTTAGGCAAGTTCAGGTTGTTCATGACCTTGACAAACTCCTCACAGCTGAGAGTGAGCCGAGGGTTCAGAGTCCGTTCTTCCTCCACAGTGGAAACTGTGAGCCCTAGTGGCGAAGGAAGGGAAAGGAAAGTGGCTGGCTCCAATGCCTTAGAACTACAGTCTAGAACTGCCTTAGAACTAGTGCCTCAGAACTACATTTCCCAGGAGACTATGGGAGGCCTCTCTAGCCATGACACTTTCCCTTGAGCTATGCACTATGGGAAATGCAGTTTCCCACAGTTCTTTGAACTTTTTTTTTTAATCTTTTTTTTGTTTATTTGTTTATTTAGTTCTTTGAACTTTCTAAATAAGGAAGTCCTGGAAAAACCTATGCTTTGCAGAATGCTAGTTGTGGAGTTCCACACACAGCCCATTCAAACCCTGGATCTTTTTGGCCCACGGAATTCTGGGATTTGTAGTCTCTGTGCCCTGTGAGAATTACAGGAGGTCACTTAAGCTCTTCCGCTACACACCTCCTCCAGCAAGCAAGCCCTTACCATGGTAATCATGAGCCGGGTAGATGAGACAGTTCCCTGGAAGTGTGAAGATCTTTTCATGGACTGAGTGGTACAATGTCTTAGCACAGCCTGGGGAAGGAAAGTTCTGTGGTCAGTGGCCTTGTTCCCTTGGGAAAAGGATAGCAGGATAGAGTCACTACAGCTAAACTCTCTACCTCTCTCTTCTGCCAATAATCCTTGTTTGTCTGGGTAGAGATAGAGAGGGAAGGGCATTCTAGGGGGTGGAATAGCACATGCAAAGAACTGAGGAACAGTGAGGTATTTGTCAATCTAATTCAGGATTAAGCAAGGTTAGAATGAGACCCTTCTCTGGGGTCTGATGGTTTTTGCACCCTTGCGTGCATGTCTGTAATTCCAACACTCAGGAGACTAGAGGCAGGAAGATCAGGAATTCAAGGCCAGCCCAGCCTTCGTACCAATATCCTGCCTCAAAATAAAAAGGCCAACCAACCAACCAACACCAAACAAGAAAGCTATGTGAGATAGTAATTATTTGTGGTCCTAAGATCCTCATTAGGTGGTAAGAGTTTTTTGTTGGGGGAGGGGTATTTGTATTTAAAACACCTGCCAGCAGCCAAACCCCTGGATGTACTTGTCTCCAAACTCCAACAGCTCAACTTGAATCTAAAATCTACTTATTCATTCTCGTAGCCTATACTGAAACCCCAGACACACATGGCCATACTGAGAGAGCTCAGGCTGGGCAAAGAAGCCAGTCACCTTGCTGGAAGTCTGTCCGCCCACACCCTCGAATCAGCAGGGCATCTCCAGTGAAGGCCATACTGTGGTCATTCAGGACAAAGGTGACACAGCCTGCAGTGTGGCCAGGGCTGGCTCGGGCCTCCAAGGCCTGACAGGAATGGAACACAAAGAGACAGTTAGTGACCAGCCGCAGGTGACAACCCAGAAGTCCATTTACCCCAGATTCACAGCTAGACAAAGCAAGAGAGCAATACTTGGGCTTAACATCTGTGAATCTGGACTACTGGAACTACCATTAATCAAAGCTGGGTGCCTGTGGTTCACACCTGTAATCCTAGCTACTCAGGAGGCTGAGATCTGAGAATCACAGTTAAAGCCAACCTGGGCAGAAAAATCTATGAGACTCTTATCTCCAATTAACTAGCAAAAAGCCAGGAGTAGAGCTGTAGCTCAAATGATAGAGTGCCAGCTTTGAGTCAAAAACCTTTTTTTTTTTTTTTTTGTCAGACATCAGGGCCTGGACACTGTCCCTAGGCTTCTTTTCCTCAAGGTTAGTGCTCTACCACTTAAGCCACAGCACCACTTCTGGCCTATTCTGTTTATGTGGTACTGAGGAATTGAACCCAGGGCTTCATGTATGCTAGAGAAGCACTCTACCACTAAGCCACATTCCCAGCCCTTGAGCCAAAAACAAAGAGACCAGTGAAGGTTCTGAGTTCAAGCCCAGGACTTATACAGAAAAAGAAAGAAAGAAAGAAGAAGGAAGGAGGGAGAAAAGAAGAAGAAGAAGAAGAAGAAATATTAGCTATGTTAACATGTCAGTAGCTGGTGAACTCCAGGAAATGATTTGAAGGTGATAATATTCTAGTATTATTTCAGTTGACTCTCGATTTGGAAATATTCCAAACAAGACATTGTGGGGAAGGGGAAGAGGAGGGCTTGGGATGGGAGGAGGCAGGGAGGAGAGGAGGGGGTCACCTGACATCCTTAACCCATAGCCTCCATGGTTCCTGAAACTGTTGACTGATGGATGGCCAGGGCTGCAGAAAATCCCATTTGGGCTCTGCCCCTCCTCCCTCTCTCTGCATTCTCCAACCATCTCTTTCTTTCCATGACAACACTTCAATGACATGCTACATGCCACAGCTGTCCTTTTCTTTACCCTGCTGCTTCCTGAGCAACTGAAACTACAGCCAGTCTGCTCAACAAACAAAAAGGGATCTGGGATCAGTCAGCACAAACCTCCTGCCTGGCCTGACAATTCCCACGGCCTGCACCGCCGCCTGGTGGTCACAAAGCGCATGGCAGGCAATTCGGTTTCGTGGCAGTGTTTCCTCTAGCTTCATGATTCACAAGTACTTTGGGGCTGGCACCAAAGACTCCCATCTGTCATCCTAGCTACTCGGGAGGCTGAGATCTGAGAACTGAGCAAGGCAATGCCAAGCCAGTCCATTCAGAAAAGTCCATGAGACTCTTATCTCCAATTAACTACCAAAAAATACAGAAGGGGAGCTGTGGCTCAAATGGCAGAGTGCCAGCCTTGAGCACAAAAGCTCAGGCCCCAAGTTTCAAGCCCCAAGATCAGCACACAACAGAAAAAAGAACATTGAAAACACTACTCAGAAAAAGTCAGCCACAAAAGAACACTTGTATTTTTCCATTCCTGTGGAAAATCCAGAGACTAAAAGTAGATTAAAAGTTGCCAAAAGAAAGACCAGGCATGGTGGCACATACCTGTAATTCCAGCACTCAGAAGCCTGAGGAAGGAAGGTGATAAAAAGTCCTGTCTCAAATAAATAAAGTTACCTAAGGCTGAGAGGGGAAAAGATGAGGCTGGGGGTGATAGTTAAGGAATGTGAGCTTTCTTTTCTTTCTTTCTTCCCTCCCCCTCTTTCTTTTTATTTATTTTTATTGTGAAAATACTGTACAGAGGGGTTACAGTTACATGGGCAAGATATGAGCACATTTCTTATCAAGCATTGTAGCTTCCTCCTTTGTTTCCCCTTCCCATCCCTTCCCATCATCGCCTCACCTCCCCACCCTCTCTTTCTTCTGTGTGGGGCTTGAACTCTGGGCCTGGGCGCTGTCCCTCAGCTCTTAGGCTCAAGGCGAGCACTCTACCACTTGAGCCACAGCACCACTTCTGGTTTTCTAGTGGTTTATTGGAAATAAACCAGAGTCTCACAACTTTCCTGCCTGAGCTGGCTTTGAACTGTGATCCTCAGACCTCAGCCCCCTGAGTAGTTAGGATGACAGGCCTGAGCCAGCCACTAGCACCCAGCTACATCCTGAGTTTATTTCTAATCTTCTTCAGGGTTTTCTCAATTCAGAAAATGTTTACTCGCATCTACATGTGCCTCATACATCAATGTACAACGCACTATTTTTACCTTCTTCTAAACAAAGGCTTTCGATATTGTGGGTAAACCCTCAACCCCACACAGCCCTTATTTCCCAGAAGTGCTTTGGTCTATGTAAACTGTCCTCATTTAGTGAAACCCTCAAACAAGAGGCCAAGCGCTCACCCTGTCACTTGACATGCCATTCCCTGCCTGAGCCACACTGTCCATCTTTGGCAATTCTTGCTTGGTGCACTGTTGAGATTTGAATTCAGGACCTTGCCAGGGCTCTTGCTAAGGCAGGTGGCTGGGCCTCTCCAGCAGGGCCCAGTCCTTTCTTGGGCAATTCTGATCAACTGGGTCCCTTGCTCTCAGCACACACATCCCAACCCCCTCCATATTGCACCCAGTTACAAATTCTAGCCGGAAACCTGCTGGTTAAGACAGCAGGGAAGGGAAGACAGATCTTTCCTCCAAGAGGCCAAGGGGTGAGGCTCAGGCCTGCAACATTTAAGGAAGCACCGGCTTTTGAGTGCTGACTCTGTATATCTACCACACTGTGAATAGGTGCCACCTTAAAAGTCTTTCGAGGACTCACCCAGGTCCAGGTCAGGGGACTATGCTTCCTTCAGCTAAGGCAGGGCTGGGTCTCTCCCTAATCCCTGACCTGGGAGTGCACAATTCACTTTTATGGAGATGCCAGGCTGAAGAGATTGCCCCCAATGCCATAGGGAATTCAGGAGGTGTTGACTTAGGGGTTAGGCCAGAGCCACGCCTGCCTGGAGCCTCCAGTTCCAGTACCCCACCTCGGTTCATGCTGCCCTTCTCCCAGAGATCTGAGGTCAGGGGTCACAGCCCAGGCTCCAGACCCTCCCCCCACCCCCACCCAGGGGACTTCGCCGCCCAGGCCCCAGTACCCATTGCCTGTAAGTTCAAAGAGTCCAGTCCACCCACCACCCACCCTCTCCTAGAAGACCCCACCCTCCACTCACGAAGCGTCCAAAGCGGATGGAGTCGCCATCGTCGATGTGCAAATCAGCCTTGGCTCCGCTGAGGCGGGAGATGACCGACTGGCAGCCAGGGAGCAGCGACCTGAGAGCCCCAGAGCCTGTGATGTGGTCAGCGTGGCAATGGGTATTCACTGCAAGATGGGCGGGCAGGCTCAGCGGGCATGGAGGGTGGGGCATGCCCAGCCCTCCTCCCTCAGACCCACCCAGGGGTCCAGGCTGCAGTCCTCCTCCCTCAGACCCAGGGGTCCAGACCCCAGCCTCACTCAGACCCAGGGATCCAGCCTCTCTCCCTCAGAGCCAGGGGTTCAGCCCCCCCTCCCTCAGACCCAGGGGTCCAGCCTCCCTCTCTCAAACCCAGGGGTCCAACCCCCCTCCTTCAGACCCAGGGGTCCAGGCCCCCTCAAACCCAGGGGTCCAGCCTTCCTCCCTCAGATCCAGGGGTCCAGCCCCCCTCCCTCAGATCCAGAGGTCCAGCCCTCCTCCCTCAGATCCAGGGATCCAGCCTCCCTCCCTCAGACTCAGGGTTCCAGCCTCCCTCCCTCAGATCCAGGGGTCCAGCCCCCCTCCCTCAGATCCAGGGGTCCAGCCCCCCTCCCTCAGACTCAGGGTCCAGCCCTCCCTCCCTTAGGCCCAGGGGTCCAGCCCCCCCCATCTTAGGCACAGGGGTCCAGCCCCCCTCCCTTAGGCCCAGGGGTCCAGCACCACCCTCCCTTAGACCCAGGGGTCCAGCCTCCTTCCCTCAGATCCAGGGGTCCAGCCCCCCTCCCTCAGACTCAGGGTTCCAGCCTCCCTCCCTCAGATCCAGGGGTCCAGCACCACCCTCCCTTAGACTCAGGGGTCCAGCCCCCCTCCCTCAAACCCAGGGTCCAGGCCGCGCGGCTCCCACCCGCCCCCCACACACCCAGGCGGGCCCCCCCACGAACCCGCATACAGCAGCCGCAGCCCCAGTTCCTTCACCAGCTGGGCATCGCGGCCGGCGGTGTCCAGCACCGGGTCGATGAGCACGGCCTCGCGCGCCTCGCGGTCGCCCAGCAGGTAGGTGTAGGTGCAGCTCTTGGGCTCAAACATCTGGGAGGGGGGGGGCAGAAACACGGTGAGAGCGCAGGGCCTGACTCCCGCCCCCGGGGCCCCGGGTACACCCGAACACCCAGAAGCAGCACCCCGCCCCGCCCTCGGCAGCGCGGGGTCCCCCATCCTCCTCCCCGAGCTCGGGGATTCCGCCTTCCTAGCCCACACGGGCAGGGTCCCGCACCTCGGTCTCGAAACGGAGCCAGAAGCTCGGTCTCCACCCCACAAAGCCCCAGGGCCCCCCAGATCGTTTCCCCTTTAAAGGACCCAGAGTCCCAGCCCCGAACCCCACTCCCTACCCGGAACGTTGAGGCGCGTCCTGTCCTCAAGGACTCGGCGGGCCCCGCCTCCCGACCAGGCACCCGCCGATCCCGCGTA